TTGTGAGAAGTTTTTCATCTTTTGTTGTGCTAGGTGACCAACAACATAATAAGAAGAGTTACATAAGCCTTCATGAATATTTATGACTGTTGTCATAAAACGTCATTTGGTTAATTGTGACACTTTTAATACAAAGTTGACATAATTCAAAATGTATTTGTTATGACAACTTGACATTAACCAAGAAATCATTACTGATATAAATTTGTTATAAAAGTATTACTGATTGCACTTTAAAAATCAGGTAACTTTATGTTATTAAAGGTAAATTTTAATCGTGTAATAGCATGAATGACCACTTTTTTTGTATCAGTTGGTCACAAGACAAAGCATTTATTTACAGGAGTGTTCGGAAATTGACGGTCCCTATGTGAAACTCCGAGCGCTTGAGGAGGGACCAGTAAAGAACAGCTGGCCGAAATTAGCGTTCATAAATCGGATCAACCTTGAGTTGAACGTCCCTTACTCCACGGAGCGCGAATATCCAGTATCCAACTTGAAAACTGCGGTCGGTAACACAATGAAAACACCGGTGTTCTGAGTAGTTTGGTTTGGTCTGTGGACACAAAAAATGGCGCCGAGCGACGTAAACGTCATACGCTGTGACGTCAGCGCCAACGCTCTATTCACCAAGACTTTTAGTTATTTAAATATAAAATAATCTGAAATTATGTTTAGCTTTCTTAGTCCTTTATTTTTTTTTTACTAAGAAACAACTTATAGAAACAAAAATATTGAATATTGAAATAAAATATTGGATAGGTAAAGTCTAGGGGTTTTTTTATTTTTAGTCTGAATAAAGTACAAAATATCATTATGTTGGTGCAAAGGTGTTCTAGCATAATTACCATGCAAACACTACATAGTCTTTTTTTTTAACAAATCTTTAATCTTTGTGAGCAAACAAACCTAAACACAAATAGATGTGAATGTTCTTCATTATTTATATTTTGATGTGCAAAAAACAGATGTAAGCAATCATTCTTGAACATGCTATGTAAACCAAAAAAATGACATGATACAACAGATATAAAGTTATTACATATCAAGTACAATATTGTTAAAATAGAAAAAATATGGAGCATTTTAAAATTCCTGTACTCTTTGTGTTTTTAGCTATTTTAAATTTAAGATGGCGTACATACAGGCTCCTCTGTCATGACGATGCAAATATATGTACAATTGTAAATCTGTCAATGTTCTTGAGAACATTTTTCAAACACATATTAAGGCTTCAGAGATTCACTGCTTGATCATGTTGTAAGCAAAGAGCAAGAACTTTATATCAAAATTTTCCATTGTAGCAGTAAAAAAAATATCTTTTCTACAACTTATCTGAGTTTATAAAACAGTTTGAGGACCAAAGGTCAATAATAAAACTATGATAATTATGATAAAATTACAAGACCAGTGGGTTTAAGACTTTCTCCCACTGAACTCTGTCCAAAACCAACAAGTCAAAGCCTTCTGTGAACAAAAAGTCAAACCTTCTGACATAAAACATGTCATATTTTCTACACATGAGCGTAGAGATCTTCTGCAGGGGCAACCTTGAGCTGGGAGTACACCGTCTCCTGCTGCCTGCTGTCCTGTGCTGACATGGAGGAAGCTCCAAGTCTCCTCTGAAGGAAGTTCACTTCTTCATAATGAAGTTTTTCCTCTCTTTTTTCATTAGCTGGTTTTTCAACAGTAGCATCCTCACTTGTTTGACTCTGTGGAAAATAGTACATTAGTTTGTTCATGTTGATGGTGTTACTAATCGACAGGTGAAACAATGTAAACGGTGCATTGCTAGACGCAGAAGTTGAACGTGTCTCTACCTGAGTCTTTTGTGGAGTTGGACGTTTGCACTTCAAGTACCTAGAAGACATTAGAGAGCCGTCAGAATAAATTTGCTGAGCTTCAGGAGACAAAGCAAAGACTCAGATTAAGAGAGTTGAGGCTGATCTGGAACTAGCAGCAGAGGAACAACAGTAAAATCACATTGTCATAAATTAAGGCAAGGAAATCAAAAATAATAGATAATAATCTGTTAAAGGTACATAGGTACTTGCTTGTTCGCAATAGAAAATGACAAAAACAAGCTCCATGAAAACATTGAGTTTGGGGTGGGTTGGTCTTCACATAGACCTGACATAAACCAGATTGGAGTTCAGATTTATACCCAGAGCTGAGAACCTCCGGAAATTCAGGCCGGGTCAGGCCAAAACTATTTGTCTGATGGTCGGGTCAGTCTTGGATTTTCGTGGCACATTTAATGACCTCAAAATACATCCAGCACAGAGAAATCCCAATGATATAAAAGTTGTGATGATGTATTTATTATAGTCTAAATAAAGGAGGAGGGAGAGGAGGTAATAAAGGAGTTAGAGTAGAGACCTTTATATGCAAAATCACCATCTGACATAAGGTATGTAATTCCCATCAACCCATTAATTTCTAATTCTTCTGGAAAAGTAAAAAAAAAAAAAAAATTCCAGAAGAGCTGAAGCTCTGATAGGAATTATAACACACCCAATGAATGGGATGTAACTCAGTAATAAATGACTGATGAGCTAATACCATGCATATGTAAGAGCAAATTAGAAAAATCCAGTAAACTTCACATCTAGACTTTAAACCTGTGGGTTGAAACTGGAATACCAACGATGGCATGGAGAGATCATACAAACTCAACTCAAACAGGAAACAATTATTTCAGAGCATTTTGCTATGAGGCAACATTACCAATGACTGGCCCAACATGTATCCTCCTGAGAGATTGCATAACTATTTTCTAAATTTGACATATGATTAAACTGAAATGTTGTTGTTTCGTAAGTTTAGATCAGCTATGTCTGACACTCACCAAGCACAAACAGCAATCAGGCAGATGAACACAATGATTCCCACTAAAATACCCTTCCAGTATGCAGGACTGCCTATTGGACCAGAAGGCGGAAAAAAAAACACATCTAAATATTAATTATATATGTAAAACAAAAATCTCAGGATGGAAATCATTTATAAGGATTTAAATGTGCAAGAATGTGTAAAAATAGAATAGTTACCTTTGTTACTTATAGAGATTATTGATGATGTTTGGTTCCCCAGATGATTTGTAGCCACACAGTAATACTCTCCTTCCTCAGTAGCATTGAAGTTGTAAACCTGCTCCATAGATACTTTAATGGCTCCATGTTCGCTGATCCTGAACCAGGTGAATCTGGGTGGAGGTTTGGCACTGCTGTAGCAGCTCAGCTCCACCCAGCTACCTGCTGACACCAAACCTGATGGACTGATGGATGCTGAGGTGTTTCTAGGAGCATCTGAGGAAAATGAGACAAATGAACTTTATTGATCAGAAACAGCTGAACCATGACCTGCTGACAGGATCACTTACATGAAACACTGAGAGTCACTTCTGTCTCTGCTGTCTTGGTTCCTCCAATCACAGGATATCTGGCAGAACATGTGATGTTGTATCCATCATGTGTGTCTGACAGAGTGATGGTCTCCTGGATTTTAGTTGTAAAGGTTCCATCTGTGTTTTTCTCTGTTTGTCTGAAAGAGTCTGGTTGGAGATTCCAGGTGAGTTGAGGAGGTGAGTGTGGACAGGGAGTGAAAGCTGAGCAGGTTACAGTGACAGACTGATGCTCCTTCAGGTCAGAGGGAACATTAATGCTGGGACTCCAAGGAGAATCTGGAGTTTTAAACCAGACATTTTTAAAAAGTGACCCAGTGATTTACGGTTACATAGACAACAAAATATTAATAATCAGCCTTTTCAGCACTGGACTTATATTACAGAACTTTTAAAGCAAGATTTTCTTACCTTTAACTTTTATCTTAATTGGATTGCTACAAGCTGTTGCTCTGAACGGCCCGTTCTCAACTCTGAAGAAGTATCTATCTGCATGTGTGGAGTTTAAGTCATTAAACAGGGTGGTGCAGTTTTTCTCTCTCAAGTTTCCAATTATCTTCAGTTGATCAGTGTTATCTGTCCTACTGCTATTGAAAATAACACTTTGTGGATCATGTTTAAAATCTAAGTTATGTTTCATCCAAACTCCAACAACAGTTGCGCTCTTGTCAAATGTTTCCTTTTTTGTCTTGAAGCTACATGGGATTTGCAAACAAGATCCACTCAGAGCTTCAATCTCCTTTGGTGCGGTGATGTTGAGAGCTGGTGCAGTAAAGTTACATGAATCAGCCAAAACACCTTAAGTAGAGAAAAAAGATGAACATAACGTGAAGAAACAGCTTCCTGTAAAGAAACATTCATGATTCATAAACTCCAGTTCAGCTGCAGCATGGTAAATGTGGAGCTTTTAAACAAGATTAAGATAAAATATTTGAGATTACAAATGATTCACATGATGTCTCTACATGAAAGGAAGTGAACAAACATCTCACCTGGCAGAAAGAAGACACTCAGTAACATGTTGACTGTCAGCATGTTCTCACAGAGAGTCGCCATCAGACTCTGATGGTCCTTCATCTCAAGACAAAGATACGAAAGCTAAAGTTATCACTGGTTTTCACGACTCTAAAGAAAAGTATCACTTGGTTTTTAACAGTTCCAATGAAATGACATCAAACTACAGACTGTCGTCCTGTGATGATGTGTTGCAAATAAATAAGTATATCTGTTACTTTTCCGCTTTTGCAACATCCTATTGATGCAGAAAGATTATGAGTCACTGGTGAATTCACACCACAAGAACAACAGAGACTATGAACAAGTTACACTGTTGGTTTTAAGAAGGTGTGTGTAATTTTGTCTACACTGGTGAAAGTGTAACTGGTAGACATTTCGTTTTTATTCCAAAACTTCATTTCATGAAATTATTTGAAGTTTAAAGACAACAAATCAATTTGCTGTTTAAGCAAACAGTCAACTACCTTTATTCAATCAGTCTGAATGACTGATTAGTTTACAAATAATGACTGATTAAATATCAGTAAATGCCAACTAAATAAAAATCTCAAAGATAATATTCGGAAATGAAAATTAAAATCAAATTAATGAGCACACAATGATTTTTTTAAATTGTTTTTTTGGTAATACTTTATTTGAAGGGGGGAGAATAAGACTGCCATGACAC